ATCATCCTTTCTATTCTCACTACGTCCTCTGGTTTTGTAAGTAATTCATAGAAGTCCACGATTGTATCAAGGTATAATGGTACTACCCCTTTGAAGCATGTATCACGATCTTCAATTCCCGCTCTGTACCCTTCTTTTTCTTTATCCTCATTGATCTTCTTGATAGCATTATTCGCATCTATAGGGTTTAAAAAAAATAGTGTGGCCATCTTATATCCATTCATCATTATACGTTTGGGAAATATTTTTTTTTCTTTTAGCATATACATGACCTTAAAATAATTACTACCTTTTTTGGCTGCGCCTGCTCTTTCCATTATCCTTAGTGTCACTTTATAATTACTGCCGAAATTTTCTTCGAATTCTAATTTCCTACTAACCTTCGACGTATCTATCTCACTAATATGCTTAAGTACACCTTCCTCCCTCACGTATATTTCCTTCTTTCTTTGTTCGTTACTCATCGTTACGTTATTCCTATTGTTCGCCTGTTGCGTCTCGATGCTTCTTGCTGACTGCGTTCCTTTGTTGCAGTCTGCCGTTACTACCATATCTCCTTCTCCCTCCGTTTCCATCTCCTCCTCCGATTGGTCCTCGTTCGTATCACGTGCCTTCCGGCCACTCGTGTTGCAGGTTTCTCCCGCGCTCTTCTCAGTCTGTAACAATTGCTTTCTCGCCTTCTTCTTTTTCCTATCTACTGTCTTCCATTCCTCATTTCCGATCTCATTATTAGTCGCATCTATCATCAACTGGTCCAGCGTGTCTTCCGTCGCTGGTCTTTTTCCTTTATTGCTTTCTTCGTTCATTTCCATATTCAATCTTGCCTCGAGTCTCCTTACTGTTCTCTTAAGCGACTCATTCTCTCTTATTGTCAGACTTATACTTCCTCTTCTCTCCTCGCTCTGCCCCTCACCCGGGGGCTCCTCGTAATCCCTTATTTCTTCTATATTGCACTTATATTATTCACGTACCTTATTATATCCTACTACTACGCTTTGATATATATCCTTTGAGCTCTTAAAAGAGCTGATTTACCTATTTCGAGGGTATAAAACACTAAAAAACCGTCAGACACCACTCGAACACGTCCGCTTCCTTCAAACCGCCATCTACAAAAATCAAGTGGAGTGCTATTCCATTCTAGGTTATCTAGGCGTGAACTTTTCGAACCAGTCGGGTTTTCCTTGGCGAAGCTAAAAAAAAACAAGAACTAAATTCATTACGTCGATATCAGTATAGCCTGTGTATAAATGTGACTAATTAAGGAAAAATTATTTTTTACTAATTTAAGACTCATCATCAATTGGATGACATGATGCTTTCTCATCAGTAATAAAACTCAGACTTATTTTTAACTTTGACTTAAGGATAGGAGCATTCGTTCGTTCGTTCGTTCGTGTAAAAATATATTTTTTATTTACAAGATCACATGTATTTAGCAGCGTAGAAATAGGATTTGTTTGAAAAAAAACAAGGTTCGATCGCGTTGAAAGTTAGAAATCGATCGATAGAGATCGAAATGAAATGGACGGCCGAGATGAGCGCGTGGATTGATAAGAGCTGTATCTGTCGGTTTGGTCAAGGTTTCCTTCCGAGAGTTTGAAAATCCCGCCAATAGTTTGGGACTAGCCGCACGACATCTACGGGCCTGCCGTGCTTGTCGGGAAATGCAGGACGCATCGTGCCATGCGAGTCCTACTTGCTTCCACCCGTCCCGCACGCATTCCAAACTCGAAGGTTCGATTCGCAGATACGAGTCAAGTGCAAAATAAAATCTGGGGGCAAAGACGTCCTCTTTCCGGCTCATCGAGCCGTCGTTAACGAACACGACTGCGACGGACGGAAGAAAACGATCGGGCAGCATTGCCGCCGCCGCTTCCGCCACCGCCGCCGCCGCCGCGGCGACAGCGATCGAAAGAGGCGATCGAGAAGGCGAAAATATAACCAAAGAAAGACCAAAATAGTAACCCTCGCGGGGCAACGGAGCGGCGAGAGCGTGGTTCTCTCCGCGCGGTCCAGCGCGCAGGCGCGTGAAGGAAAGCATATATATGCGCGTCCCGCTCTCGCCGCGCGGCGGCGCATCGTCCCGTCTTCGTCTCGCGCACGGGTGGCGCGCCACAAGCGACTCCGTCGAATTTTCGACGGGCGCAGTTGGCAGCCGTGCGTAAAAGAAATAAATAATCAAAGCGACCATGAAGTGACAAATAAAGTCGGGGATCGAGAGAACAATGCTCGCCCGTACGACGGCAAGGAGGACATCCCGAGTCGCGCAGGTAGCGTGCGTTCGCATCGCCGTTTGATACCCGGACCCGCCGCGTTCGCGAGTGGACCCGCGGCGTGAACGCGCCGCGCACCGCCGCTGCTCCGCCACCGCCGCAGCCGCAGCCGCAGCAGCCGCGCGCGCGACACACACAGCAGTAGTAGCAGCAGCAGCAGTAGTAGCAGCAGCAGCAGCAGCAGCAGCAGTAGCAGCAGCAGCAGCAGCAGTAACGCAGCAGACCGAAAGTTGCGTTAGTGCTCGTCG